GGGTGTCTACTCGCGCCTCTCGTCCGGCAAGGACTTTATCGCGCCGTACCTCACCAAGTCGAGCCTCCGCACCGAAGCCAACTAGACTTGCCGCTGGTCGTTGTTGGATCGTCTCCGTGTCTGCGCAAACGTTGTCGCTCGTCTCGTTAAAGTCTTTCCTGTTAACGTTGTTTACCATCGATGCATCTTGAATCGATTTTAAGTTTACTCTTTGAAAGGGGACAACATGTCTACTCCTCGCGCACGAAAGGATGAATAACGACAACAAAGAGACCATTAATCAAAAGTGCGTTCGTTGAGGTTATGTGCAGAAATCAAGCTGCGAGCAAAAGGAGGAGGAGGGTGAACGATGATGAACATCAGTTGGTGACTGCGCCACCATAACGAGCTTGGTCGGTGGTCGCTCTCGCTGGTAATCGGCTAATGACGTATGTTGGCTAGAGCCGAGCTGCAATTTCACATAGCAAGCATGTTACCTGTCCTAGCATAGGACGCACGCCGGCCGGTCGTTCGTTGGATTCATTTCGTCGATGCGAGGTGCTTGGGCGAAGGGCGGGCGTGTCTTCCTGTCATCTTCAAAGAAAGCCCACATCACGACGCCTCAAGTGCAATGATTGGCTAAAATCCCGCTACTGGATTTTCCCAGCGTCGGTTAAGTGCGCATTTCAGCCAATGGCATCGCAGCGCGACGTTGAGGGTGTTCCTAGGGCGCTGCCGGTCACTACCGTTTTCTGCTCCGAGTCCACAGACCGATGCTCGCCCGCGCCGCCCGCCTGACCTCTCGCGCTGCCTTCTTGCGCCGTGGCTTTGCCACGTACCCCGCCCACGAGCTCGTGGGTCTGCCCGCGCTCTCGCCGACGATGGAGCAGGGCAACCTCGCCAAGTGGAACATGAAGGAAGGCGACGCCATCTCGGCCGGCGACATCATTTGCCAGATCGAGACGGACAAGGCCATCGTCGACTACGAAGCCCAGGACGATATGTTCCTCGCGCGCATCTTGGTGCCGGAGGGTGCGGAAGGCATCAACGTCGGCCAGCCCATCATGATCACGGTCGAAGACGCCGGCGATGTCGGCGCATTCGCCAACTACGTCGTGGATGCGGCGGCGGTCCCGGCGCCGGCGCCCAAGTCGCCGGAGGAGATCCCGCCCAAGAAGGAAGAGGTCAAGGTCGACCCGGCGACGAATGCCCCGGTCGCCCCCGCCGACTTTTTGGTCACGTCGCAAGTCCCGCAGAAGACCGTGCCAGGCCCGGCGATCCCGGCGCCGGTCGCGACGCCTGCGCCGACGCCTGCCCCCAAGGCTGCGCCGGTTGCTGCGCCCGTCGTCGCGAGTGCTTTGGCTTCGTTCGACAAGTGGGGCCGTGGCATCCAGCAGAGCCCGATCTCGAACAGCATGCTCGTGCGCCAGAAGGCGTACTTGG